CCCCCCCCCCCCCCACGCTTCTTTCCACTTTTATGTGGGTTCTGGGATTCAAGCTCAGGTTGCCAGTTTTAAGAGACAAGTGCCTTTAATGGCTGAGCCATCTCACTGACCCCTCCCCTTGTTTTTTAAACACAGGGTCTCACTAGATGGCCTGAACTGGCTCAGGCTTGCAGCTGATTTCCTGCCTTAGTCTCTAAGCACTAGGATTCAGGCATGATGATCCAAAGCCTCCTGGTGGGTAGGCCGTGTGCCCCGGTACGTGAAGGTACTGCAGTCTGGTGGGTGTTGTGGAGCTGTCTCCTGCAGGCTTGGTGTGACCATGGTCATCACGGAACCCACGGAAGACCTTGGCCTGTCGTCATGGCAACGGAATAAACAAACCTACACACCAGATACCTAAGCCTAAGGTATTGGGACTATTAACATTCCCCCTTGGAGAAGGGAGATCATGGGACCTTCCCCTGAGATTCCGATCACCAGATCACCACTCCCTCCTGCCCTGGCTTTGTGGTCTTAGAAACGCCGAGGCTCTCGTGGGCTGAAGACTTGGGTTGGACGTCGTGATGGCAGCTGCTCGTGAGTCACTCATGCTTCTGTCGGTATCCAGGGAAACTCAGTAACTCACCAAGGTGGACTTCACAGACTCTTTCTTTCTTTGCTCTGTCTCCTCCCTCTCTATTCAAAGTGAATAGATGTTTAAGTCTCCCCAGGGAAGTCACCCAACCGCAGGGCTCCGTCATTCTGGTCATTCTGCGTACACTCTTATCAATGAGCCAGGGACACTCAGGAATGTAGTCATCACTAAAACCCAACAAACCTCTCCCACAGAGGTGTGTGCGCTGCCGGGGAGGCAACACGTGCTGTAGTGGTGTCCTTTCTGTTGCTGTGACAGATGACAAGACCAAAAGTCACTTAGGGGAGGAAAGGATTTATTTAGCGTTAAGTTTTCAGGTCACAGTCCTTCCCTGACGGAAGTCAGGGCAGGGATTGAAGCAGAAGTCATGAAGGACTCCGCTTGCTGTCTGACACACAGTTAGACTCACTCAGGCGAGCATACTTAGCCCGCTGAGCTTTCTTACACAGCCCAGGACCACCTGCAGAGAGATGACTCCGCCCACAGTGGCCTCGACTCTTCTGTACCAATTAATAATCAGAGGAATCCCTCACAGATGTGCCCACAGGCCAATCTGATCTAGGCAACTCTGCAACTGAGACTGACCGCTCAGAGGAGTCTAGAATATGTCAAGTTCCAGTCACCTAGGACTATATTCTAGGAACATATGCTATACACACATGCACACACTATACACATACACACATGCTATATACCCATACACAGTATACACACTACACACACATACGCATACACAGGCATTTACACACATACATGGTACACACACAGTATATACGCATGCAGTATACACACAGTATATACACACGCAGCATATACACACAAACACTACACACATACACACACTATACATACACACACACACACGTTTACATGTACATGTTCTGGAGAGGAAGAAACCCGGATGGGAGCTGGTAGGGCCCAGAATGCACAGGTGGTACCTAGCGAGACTTTTAAGGAGTTCCTATTTGAACAAAGAGCTGAGTTACTATTTGAGCTGAGGACTTGAGTGAGGGAGACTTCTGGGAATTCTGGCAGACAAAGGGTTCAGAGATAGATGAGAGCAAGTACAAAGGCCCTGGGGCAGCAGTACCTGTCCTAGGCCTAGAAAAGAGGCAGGTGGAGCTGGGGTGGGGCACACAGGGAGAGTGGGGGGGGGGATGAAGTCAGAGGGGTGTGTAAGGAGAACACACCTCCACCCATCTTCAAGATTTGTGTGTTATAAAAACAAACCAGAGCACTGGGCGTACTAGAGTCTTGCCTCTCAAAGCTGGAAGCAAGGTACCACGGGACCTCCCGGCAGAAACACTCCTCCTATTTCCAGACCTGTGCTCCCAGGCTCGTGAACATCAGAGCCAAAACAGGGACCCCCAGACAGAATTGTGACCAGGTTCCCAGGCTTGGGTTCCAGGTCTGAGCCAGGGCCTGAGGGTGTACAGGTGGAGAGGGGCAGTCTGGGGATCACATTGCCTTAGGACTTGGAGGACAGTGTCACAGGCCTCCTCCCACTTAAGATTTGTACTTAAGCAAAGCAGTTAAGACCCACTTGTGCCGCGCCGCTGTTTCCAGCATGGGTCTCTGTGCTGGGGTGCCGTGGGCCCGCATGGGGCCATGAGTGAGCAGTTCAGAGACCCAAACTGACTTGGATAAACCCTAAACGGGACCCAGAGGGACCAGTTGGGCCAGTCTGGGGTCTTTTAGGCTGTGCTGGGTCATTTCAGGTATGCCTGTGTTTTGAACATTTGGGATCATGACGGAAAGGGTAGGCTGCAAGGAAACTTGAATCTGTTCACAGTTCTGTGAAAAATTAACAAGAGGCCCAGCTCAGAGTCCAACTGTCACTTTGTTTCTGGTTCAAGTTCTGGCCTATAGGGCAGCCTGCTATCATTTCTTTTCACAAACTAGCTGGTCACTGAGTTGAACATGATGCTGGCCTCACCTGCAGGGGTGGACAGAATGCCAGAGCCCCCCATGAGGTATCAGCTCCCCCTAACTACACAAGGCAGTAACCAGCACCACCCTCTCTCTTGTCTATATACTGAAAGGAAGTT